TGAGATGTTATCCCTGGGCTCGGCCATCTCCTGATAGGTCGTCTCCAAAACCTCGGGTCATCGACAGCATTTTCCTCTACTACTTTATCCCCTTCACCATCATTCAAGCGGATTTTCAACCGCTCAACGAACACCGGATCCCACCGGTTGTACTCGGACAATAGTTCTAACTCCCCGGAGTGAACCATATTGATCATCATCACGTCCAATTCGTCGTCACCCGAAGACGCCCAGGATGCGCTCATGATGTTTGACAAAAGAAGAAGAAAAATCGGTATAAACAGATAAAATATAAAGGGGAATTCTTACCACTAGAAGTCGTCCGAGAATCTGAGAATCTGAATTGCTTTGAATACGGATATCAGGAAATTAATTTGCAGAAAAAGCAGAAAATATGGGTGCACAAAGAAAACGAAAGTAAAGTAGATCTCGAAAGTGAAATTCTTATTTATATTAAAGCCCTAGATCGATGCGACCGTTGGGAACCGATGGAAATAGGGGCGCGTGAATTGCACGTTCCAGATCTGCGAGTCGACACAACCCTTGGAGATCGTGCCTCTTCATAATAGCTACGTGGCCTATGTTCAGTGACCGTTTTTCCTATACATAAAACGGTGCAATTAATCTTAATAAAGCCTGCCGTTTCAACTTTCGAATATTATTTTCACAAGTACGAAGACGTCGGGTGCAAGTAGCGAAACCGACATATCGCGTCCATACAGGAATTTTGTCAAGGTCCGTTGCAATTTCAGCATCATTGCCCGTCTTTTATCCAGACGACCATTAATGCTGGGGGCCACCTTGTTGATATCATTTTCTGTAAGCCGAGTTAAGCGACACTAATCCGTCGATCGAGACTGATATGATGATGATTAGAGTTCATACGGGCACGAGACACTTCCACCCGCTTCAAGATGATTACGCAATGAAAGATTTAGCGGAAACCGATATCCTTACTGAGCTGACCGATGTCACATGTCGGACAACACATGTCGGTCAGCACATGTCGGTCGACACATGTCGGTTACTACATGTCAGCCACGACGTATCGGTTATAACTAGGTGAACCGATATCTATAACATGCCAGCTCAGCATGGTCAGGCGGTGACAACTCAGCATAACTCATCATTACGCTTATCCAAGTGGCAAGCCAACAAGAGGAGCCATCAAAGACCGCCTTTGACCTTTCAAATGTAATGATTATTGTACAGATAATTATGGTGTGTAAATATAAAAGGGAAAAAGAGAAATTCCCAAACGGACAAGAATATCACACTACTACAAATTATATTCCCAGAAATAATATACAAGCTTTTCACCGTTAAACGTTCAGACTTACTTGAAATACATCTCAATTTGGTTGTTGTTAATTTCTATGTAACAACAAACTCCCCTCAAGAAACTCAATACTGAAAATGCAGATCAGGGATCTGTTGAGATGAGGGGGAGAATCAATTATTAAAATTTTGGTAATGATATATGCATCACTCCAAAAGTGTGCAAATAATAAACTGAATGATACTGATGGTGGTGAAATATATGAAATGATATGATGGTGGAAAGATACGCTGGAAGCGTTGGTATTGTGCAAATTGAAATTTCCCAAATAAGTGATAAAAGGAGGCATATACATACTATCGATGAAATTAATTGATAATGAGATATCTCAATATATTATGGGGAATAATGAAAATGAATATGTGTCGACACAAACAAATGAATATCGCTATATAAATGACATTGATGAGAATGAGTTTAAGAATGATAGTTGCACAAAAAGCATGATATGACATATTATCATAAATACCACCAGTATCGGAAAATCTGAATGAATCTATATGATATTCATAAAAATTATGGAAATGTTATTATGGTGAATATATGGAATACGCGTTGTACTCTTTTTCCCTTGGCTGAGGTTTTGTCCCATTGGGTTTTCCTAGCAAGGTTTTTAATGAGGCAACATGGATGGCGTATTCACATGAATAATGTACTCTTTTTCCTTCATTAGGATTTTGTCCCACTGGGTTTTTCCTAATAAGGTTTTAACGATGCATATTAATGAAATAATGAGGACTACTGGATAATTGATATGATTCCTCATGATGATGAGAAAAGACTGGAGTAGTTGTACTCTTTTTCCTTCGATCAAGTTTTTTCCCACTGGGTTTTCTTGACAAGGTTTTAACGAGGCAGCACGTGGATACTCCATTAAAGATGATCTATTTGAGGGGGAGCAATGTTGTGTTTCCACAATACTCAGGTTTTGTCCCACCAAGTTTTCCTGAGGAAGCAATGTATAATTTCAAGATGATCAGGTTTTGTCCCACCGGGTTTTTCCTGAGAAGAAATGTTGTGATGATCAGGTTTTGTCCCACTGGGTTTTCCTGACATGCTGAAGCAACGGTACCTGATGGCCACAAGATGTACTTGAAGATGTGCAAATTGGACTTTGATTTAATCAGTTAATATATGTTTAGAAATAGTCATTCAAGGGGGAGTGTTGTGAAATTTTTATTATAAAATAATGTATGTGAATGACTATTTTGCCCCCAATGTAATTGTATTATTACGATTGTACCATCAGAAGTTTCCTATAAATAGGAGCTTCAGTTATAATGAAAATTGTACCTAAGAGAAACATTTTCTCTATCTCTCTCTTTTCCCTCTAATTTTATAACACATTTTAACCTATAGAGGAAATTACACCGGGAACGACTTGACATCAAGTTATTTGCACTTATACGGTTGAAATATAAACTTTAGCACAATTACAAAATCTTGAGATTTTATTTGCATATGTACGGTAAAAATAATATTTCTCTTCAATTAATATAGATTAATTGGATACAGTTACCAAACAAAAATCAAAATTAACTCCCCCAATCACGCATTATTGCTCCTTATCTTTCCCACAACTAAACCGACTACCCCCATCAACGCATGTTCCTCATCAGTAAAGCTTCATTGTTATGGCCAAAACTAAAATCCCTCCCATAGCCGGTGAAACCCCCAATAGTCTCCACAAGATGCTAGACAACAGGTAACCGAGTGGCAAAAAAGATGAAGTCCAGCAATCTTGAAATCTGTGTTGTAAAGCTCATGATGAAACGACAATTGCCAACCCCGACCCCGATGATTTTCAGTATGCCCTCGACAAGATTCCCGAAAAAGAGTCAAATATATTAGGATTCGGAGACGAGTAGAGGGTCGAGCACTGACGGAGTTTGACCAAGGCAGCATGACGAAACGAAGGGCATCCCCGCTTTCGACCGGCAGTGGTTGGCTTGACTTGGAGACAAGCGGTTGCGGCCGTGGGCTCGTCTCGGGAAGGCGGAAGCTCAGCACACGATGGCAACTCTGCTTGTGAGCAGCGACGACATTTAAAGAGTTTCTATTGGATTGTTTCAGTTTATTTTATGTTTATGTATAGTTTATGTTTAGTTTATTAGCATATTTTTTTGTTGACTATTTGATTTTATTTAGTATATTGTCAGTTTATTGGCAAGAATAAGAATTGCTTATTTGTATCATTTTGTTTGTTGCTTGCCAATGATATACATCATGATTTATGTTCAGTTGATTGCTAGCTTATGAGTCGAGACTTTGTATTTTTTTCTTGTTTGATTGTTCAATGAAAACTGTATGGTTTACATTCAGTATATTACTAATATGTTTTACTGTTTCCATTTTTTTTTATGACATTAACAGGAAGAAGTTCGACAGTATGTATTAGTTAAAAAATTTATAGTCAGGGTTCATAGTCATTATATTTTTAGTATATTATTTAGTTAAAGATTTATAGTCAGAGTTTATAGTCAGTATATGTTCAATATATTTTAGGTATATTCTCTAAGGAACAATATTTTTTTTAAAAAAAAAAGGTATATATACCATTAAAAAATGATATATATACCATTAAAAAGTCCGATATATAAATTATTACAAAGCTGAAAACCCCCTCTAATGAGTGGTCAAAGATATAATAAAATATATAATATAAAATATGTGTTGGACGCTTTTTTGACAAGCAAATAAGAATATGTTTTGGATATATCCACATTCCTTATACTAACGGATTGACATTTTAATGCTCCTATTTAATTACAAATAATGTCCGATATTTTAGGTTGTGGGGCGTTTTTTTTTTGCAAATAAATTTAGGCATACATATAATTAATTATCATCAATCTGGTGTTTATGCTAATATTTTTTGAAAGCCGTATATCTGCAATTATTTGCCCTAGAGCTCAGTATGTGTGTAAATTAGCCTCTAAGATATTTATAATTTTTCTAAACGGCCAGCCAAAAAAAAAAAAAAAAGTTTGAGAGCCAATACCCAAGCCCAGTTTGGCTCTCAAGCAAAAACTTCCACAGCTAGAATCTTTCGTGATTACGTCGTACATTCAAGCTCATACTCTTTTTGCACAATCAGTAAACTAATATCCATGAGCGAATTACCACCAATCATCTGAAAAAATTATAAAAAAAAAAAAAAAAAATGTTTAAAAAGGCTGTGGAGGCGAAATCACAACAGCGGCTGTCTCTTTGATGTTTTCTTATTTATTTGTTAAAGCTTTGTATGAATATATGGTATATTTAGCTTGGATACTCTGGAAATTCTGATTCTCCTTTAAATTGAGTATCTTTCGTGTTTACCTGTGTGATAGCTGTGTAGATATCATGTGGGCTGTGCGTTTTTTGTTGTAAGAGTCGACAAATGAGGTGTGTTCCGTGTTCTTCCTCTTTATTATAGAAAAAAAAAAAAAAATGAACTTTGGTGCAGATGATTTTGTAGAAAGGTTCCGGATCTTTTGCCTGCTTTTATGCTTAAAGGGGGAGAGGTTTCTCGGTTTGTTCTTGGAAAGGCACTAAGGATTAGCCATTATTACCGTGATAAACTTTGGTAATGTAACATGTTTTTCTCGTGAGATTGAGAAATGCTAATGTCCATCTTCTTTACCTTTGTATTTCGTGAATTTCTCCAGGGAAAATTGTTATGTTCCGACTTCCAAATGCGGGTTTTTATGAAGATGCTGTATTTGAGGACCCTGCTATAATTTCTGCTGGCGAGGCTTCTGATTCACATGAAGATGGTTTATTAGTTGGCCAAAACAATGCTGACAACAATGATTGTTTAGGGGATGATGTTGATACTGCTGATGGCACTCAATTGCCTCTTGATTCTGCTTCCACAGGAGATCCCACAGTGAAAAATGAACTGATCACCTCTGCCATGGTTGATTTGCTATCTACTGAAAACGCTTCAGGCGCCGAGTCTAGTGTAGATGACCAGCATTTTTTATCTGTTGAGGATATAGATGCATTATTGGACAAGTGCCTTTTGCAAGCTTTGCATACAATTGTAAAGGATAAAGATCTCCCCGTACCTGGAAGTGTGTTATGGTAACCTGCAAGCACTAAACTTGTTAATGGTTTACTATATGCATGCTTGAGCGGAAGTTCATTTATCCCAGGATAGTATTTAATTTTGTGCATGCCCATGTCAATCATAATTAGGTTCTGTTGCTTGAACTGTTTACATACATGTGTTAAAAATGCGACATCATTAGTTGTTAGCCAATTATGCTTGTCTAACTATACATGGAAAATTGGATCAGTGGGGATTGCGGTTCCCTTTGTAAGGCCCAAAGTGAAAAATCATGCAGGTCTTACTTTAAGCTTCAGTGCAGTGAGGTGTTTTGGGTTTTTTTCCGTGTTGTGCTTTGTACTCTTATTTCCTGTTTCAAGTCTGTTTGGCGGCTCACTTTTACTCGGTTGTTTGTGCTGTTACAGGTCTGGTCATGTGCTACCTTGCAGGCCTTCAGGTGTTACACTAGACATAAAGAAGTCATCTCACAAGAAACTATCCAAGTGGCTACAATCTAAATCTGCTAGTGGACTGGTCAGCTTTCATTTGCCTTTTCGGTTAACTTAAGTATTGCGATTGTGCAATCTACTTTTCTGCTTTCTAAATCTTTTGCACTCTGAAATTGGAGCAGCATGCTTTGATAGAGGGTTTATAGTCCCTCGCTTTTAGTCACTTTGTTTTTATTCATCCAAAGAGATGCTAAGGAACTGTACCTTACCTGATTAACTAATTTTCTGAACTAGTAGTTTTGGAACTTACTTTTATTAATGTTGTGATGTCCCTACATGCTTCTTGTGGTACTTGATTGTTCATGGGTTTTTGTACATGTTACTGTGTTCCAGATTTCTATTAAAGAGGACAAACATAAAAAGGAGGTGACACTGTTCTCGGTCAACCGCAATCACCCAGATTACACATCTTTCAAGCCAGTGAAGAAAATCGAAAAAAAATGATAAATCCGTGAAAAGCATTGCTAACGAAGGGCAGTCCGGTAAATTACTTGAGGTTGTGGAGATTTACAAGCCAAGTTTGCATGTCAACCCTATATTTGCTTCCGTTGAAGCAGACACTGGGAAACTATATACCGCCTCGGAAGCTTTTGAAGTTGTCTTTGGTTACGTTGAAAAAGCAAAGTTTGTCAAACCAACAGACAAGTCTATTGTGGTTTTGGATGCGGCCCTTTGTGATGCTTTGTATAAGGGAGCCATCAAGAAGGGCGCGATGTATCCAACTGAAATTCATAAGAAGGATTTGGGTCAAACATATCAACCGCATGCAGGCTCATCACCTCGTGATTCGAGGCAGTGATTCAGTTGTGAGGAAAGGTGCACTCAAGCCAATACAGATACTGACCGAAAGAAGGCAAGGGAACAAAAAAGTGACAAAGCTTTCAGGTGTGGAGTCTTTTCTGATAGATGCGGAGATGTTAGCTTCAGAGCTGCAGAAGAAGTTTGCTTGCAGTACGACAGTTTCAGAACTTCCTGGTATGCTTTCTCACTCACCCTCTATATGTTTAATTGTGGCTCTTAGTGAATCTGCCTTGATTTGAAAAACATAAAAATAGGAAAGAAGGGTCTGGAGGTTTTGGTCCAAGGAGGCGTGATTGAAGATCTTGCAAGACATCTGGTTGATCAATATGGGGTCCATAAGAGATTCATTGAAGTTTATGATACGACCAAAAAGTAGAGCAGAGAGGTTGAGGGCAATCTCCAGCTTCAAAATCGGGTGAAACAATAGAAGAAAATGTTGCGGGGCTGATCTCTGAATGAGTGTCTCATCTCAAGGATATGGTTCTATTGAAGATTAAGACCATGGTTTTGGAGTGTTATTGTGTATATCTATCAAGCTAAAGAGATGTCTGCTACTACTTACTTTCTTTTAATGTGAATATATGGCGACTGTTTGCTTCGTATTTAGGAGCCTTCCGAATTGATCGGCATTGTTCTTTCCTGGGTTTCACTGAATATTTGTGGTGCAAATTACAAGTAACACTCGAAAACCTTACGGAATATTTATCTGTTTTTGGGTATGATCACAAGTTAAACCGGGAACAATCCCTTGGAACTATTGATGTGAGACTGCGGTATTTTCAGCCTAAAAAAAAGCAACCAAATGTCAGCCATCGGAAAATTCTCAGACGGGAGGCCATATAACTAGAAAAAAGCAACCAAATGTCAGCCATCGGAAAATTCTCAGATGGGAGGTCATATAACTAGATAACTGCACGTAATTGCTTGGCTCTTGCTTGTCTTGGCTTCCATTGTTGAGTTTCTTTTTTTTTTTTTTTTTTGTGTTTAACTGAATGCCGGATATGGGCTTATCCACCTAATCTTTGGTGTGCATATGCGAAACAATGATCAAATTTTGCCTCAAAATGCAGAAATCTTTAGACCATTCACAACATTTACAATGATAAGTGCGTGGACGAAGAATTTATTGACCAACCGCAGTTCATTTTTATTATCACTGAAAAAACTCAAGGAAGTTACAACCGGCAAACCAAAAGGCTGCAAAAGATCCCAAAGAGTAGCAAAGGCAAAGATCTTAAGGGGGAGTTACAACCATCATGCTCCCCCTCCAACTAAACAGGCGACAACGTCTTCCAGATCTTCTCGCGTGCATGTGTTGAGTTGGCGCCCCCATAAAGGAATCGTGGATGAGATTGTATCCCTTTGGACCTTATACGCCAGGCCAGATATTGCGCTTCCATGCTCTATTCTTGTCATCGCCGCACCAACTGTTTCCCCTTGAAGCATCACGCCGACCAGTTCACAGGCACTTTCTCTGTGGCTTTCAAGAAATTCATATTCATCTGGCTGTATAGCCGCTACTGATTCATAATAATCCAGCCAATCCTCAAAAAACTCCCGGCTCCGATCGGTGTCCGACAGTGACTGTCGAGCGTGAATGCCGTCCAAAGATGCGAGAGGCGCTGGTCTTGGTTGTCAGAAACGTACATCCTCTGGAGGGCGACTTGAATTGTTTCCTGCGGTAGCATCAGGTCGATGATCTGTACCATCAGTGGCCTGCGCCGGGCAAACTCCCGGCGTCGGACCATAGCACTCGGAGACGCCGCGCTTCTCACCCCGCTCAGCAGTTGTGCAACACTTTCTCTGTCAATTCTGAAAAACAGTACCGGTGGTAGTGGAGGATCTCTGTAAATGGTCGCGACCATGTCGTGGATGATGGAGGCGACGAGGTTTGGAGACAAGATTCTCCCCAACGCATGTTCCACAGTTTCACCGGGCAACATGCACTCCAAGACCCGGCACAGCCTTATTTCAAGATTCTTCAAGAATTGCTTCTCCTCCACCATTGGAGCAATTATGCCACGCCACTCCAAGAATTGCTCTCTGGCACTTACCAACTCCGGCAAGCTCATGTTCAAGATGGACGGAGATAGGAAGGCTGTAATCCATGGAAATGGAGAGAAAAAGAAAAACCCAACAGAAAACAGGGGTGCACCTATTCTTTAAATGGGGGGTTTTTCAGTTGGGGGTTTTTGATTTCTTATTTCGGGTTTTTTATTTGGGGCTTTGCATTAGGAACTGGACGAACGGCTATATTATATATTATGTTTCCTTATTCTGTTTTTTCGAATAATATGTATAATAATATTAACATTAAGTCTACATTTCTTTTTAAATTTTACAATATTCAAAATATTATTAATTTAACATAATCGTTTTTTTTTTTTTTTATATAGATATTTAGATTTTCGGTTGACGTAGACAACTCGATAAATTATCCTACTAATGTCATCTATTTAATGTATTACATCCATTTTATATACATTAAAACTACCGAGGCAATAATTATAAATTATATAAATGTAAGTAGTAAATAGTATTAAAGTTATTTTAAATATTAATATTAATATTTAACTTTTCTTTTTTAATATATAAAGTATATGTCCATTTCAGTTATAAAATAACTGTCGTTTTAGAGTTCTTATTTAAAATTTAGGAACTTGATATTTAATATACTCAAACATTGTGAATATAATATTCACAAAAATTCTTATCTTACTCATACATTATCTATGTTAGATATTTTTTTTTTTTTTTGGTACAAAGATATTTTTTAATATAAAGCAGTTGAAACACTGTAAATTTTATTATTTTTTTATTTAAGATGTTGCCTCTTCTGTTGACACGTAAGAACTTTAAATGTGTATTACCGTTTTTGCCCTCAATATCGTTTGTTTATTTTCCCTTCACATTCTTTTATTGTAAAAGTGCACTGCTTTCTCACGAAGCTTCGTCTTCTCTCCCAGATGAATGGAGATGATGGATAGCTCCACAGAAGAGAAATTGGGCTGTGTAGAAATCGGGCGCCGGAGATCCTCCACGATGTGGATTCCCCAGTTGATTCGGTTAGTTATGTTCTTTTTTTTTTTTATTTGCCCTAGGCATGAGAATGGCGTTGGTGTGGCATAGATGGGCGTCATGTGGCCGGAGTTGGTGATGTGGCTGTTAGTAGTGGCTCGTGAGGAACCGGTTGTGATCCGATCATCATTGTCAATATGAAGGGGACCGGCTAAGCACTATGGTAGTCGGGCAGTTGGGAGTGCTCGGCGTCGCACGGTGTTCGGCGCCCCTCAAGTGTTCGGCATTGGAGGTGGTCGGGATGAAGTGTCTGGCGCGACATCGTCCGATATGATGAGTGCCCGGCGTATGGTGAATGCTCGGCGTAGGCGAGTGCCCGGCGTGGGCGAGTGCTCGGCGCGAGGCCTTCAACGGGTGCTCGGCCTTGGGAGGTGCCCGGTAGCCCTCGTGTGTTCGGCAGTCCTCGTGCGCGTCGAGGAGGTTAGAACCTCAAGGTGACTTTGTGATCAAGTTACAAAAGAGTCTGTAGCAACAAGGACTCTCGGGCTTCAGAAGACCTTTAACCTAATTAAGAGTTTGATATGAAGAAGACTTCTTATCCCACTGGGACTCTCCACATCCCTCCTATAAAAGGGAGCAGGTTCATTCATTTTACACAACACACACGTACTTGTTGTCTCGTTACTCTGCTATTTTCTCTCTAGACCATCACTGACTTGAGCGTCGGAGTGTTCGCGCCGGGACCACCCCCGGCGTGCTTTGCAGGTACCGACAATCAAGGAGACGCAACCCGGTTCAGAGAAGAGCGGTCCAGCGGTTCAAGTATTACCCGGTTCGGAGAGGAGCAGTCCAGCGGTTCAAGTGTTTGTGGTATAACAAATTGGCGCCGTCTGTAGGGACGAATCAGCCTTCTATCGAAGTACTAAAGGTTGTTCTTTCTCACCAACGAAGGAGAAGAGAGCGATAGGAGTCATGGCGAGAGACAACTCAAAGAAGGACTTGGCGAAGGAGTTGGATGTGGTGGGCTCGGAAGGCGTTTGGGACAGGTCCCCCACTTGGGTGGTCACCGTCGCCGTCGCCCGTTACTCCCAAAGAGACCTTGCTTTCCCCAAATGTAACCCCGACAACCCCCACCAGAAGCCTAGAGGCACGAGGCGAACCTAGGGGGATCATGTAATCCGATGGACAAAGGGAAGGAGGTAGGCACCCCAGTTGAGAGGGGGCGAACCAGGGCGTTTTGGTATCCGGAGGTGCTGGTGGTCAGAGTGGTTCCCTTGCTACTGGGCAAATGATCGTGATATGAGGACGAAACCCTCCCGGGGACAACGCTTCTGCAGCACCACGAGGGAATCAGGTTATCCAGATGACCAGGTCGGAGTTGGATAGAATCATTGTTGAGGCAATAGGCCAGGCTCAGGTGGTGGATATAGCTACTAATGAAACGTTTCGACAGCAACCACGTGCTCCTCAGCAGCAGCCACCCTCGAATCAACAGCAACATGGGCGGGGCGAGGATGAAGATATTAGGTCAGTAACCTCTCGCCCGATGGCAGCGGTACAACATGATGGGTTAACTTTGGAGTGGTTGTGGCTCAGATGCAGGAACTCCAGGCTCGTGTTCAAGG